CGAGGAGGAGGGGAGAGAATCTCCCGGCGCCGGGGCTGCAGAGCGGGTCCTCTTCCCCGTCTCCTCTCGGTCCGGAAACAGGGGAGGCGGCGTTGCAGCGGCTCTCTCCCGCGGTCGCCTTCGCATCCGCTTCCTTTGGGCATCCCCGACGGCTGCTGAACAGCTGTGCCGGAAGGCGGACTGTGGGAAATCTGGGCATCTCTCTCAAGCCCCCGAAGTATTTCAGACCCAGCCTCTTGGACTCTGATTTCGCTTCGTTGGCCATCGTTAGCCTGCGGCGGTTGGGTTTATACGTTGCGTGGAGCCATGGCTTGCTAAACCCCGGTGTATGAATAAACCACAGTGGGTTGAATTCACACCAGATGCTAAGCCAAGAGAGAACTGCGTTGTGGCTTTAGCTTGTTGGGGGAAATCAGATCCTTGTATTTCTTGTCAGGTTAACGTAAATATTATGCTAGCCTGAAGGCTCGGGCTGATCGGATTTTTTAAAAAAAGGGCTTTCTTGGGATAGACAAGTTGCCGTCCTCCACTGATTGATAAATATCACCTCCCAGCATCCTTTCCATTATTGGCTGTGCTTTCTAGAGATGCTAGAAGCTGTAGCAAAATCTAGAGCAGCATTTCCCAAATTTTTGAAGTCATGGAACACACAGTATATGCTCAAAAAATGCCGGTACCACCCTTTCAAACAAACACCCAAACAGCCCCTTCTGTTTTTAATTTCAGACCACCAGAATTCACATTTTTTGGCAAATTAGATCAGGGCTGTAGTTAAATTTGTAGGCACCTTATTTCCCCCCCCCTTTTTTAAAGACCCTTTAAAGCTAAATTTTGCTTTGAACATTTTAATCCAAGACTGACTGTTTATTTACCACTTGAATTACTTCATAGTAGAATTTGCTGGTCAGAATATTCTTCAATAGAAATCCAAACTCTAAAGAGTGAGTGGATCTCCAGCCTTCTGAAATACTCATCACAAAGTTTATTTACAATCATTGAACAGTCAAGGGTGGTATATACAAAGACAGCACTAATTCAGTAATTTTCATTCTTTTTTACCTATCTAAGAAACCAGGTTCTACCAAGACACAAATAAATGTCTCTGCTATCCTGAAGACGTGAATATGCTGTTATTAAATTCATTAGTTATGAAAAAAATTAAGGATATTTTAAAAATTACAATTATATTGTTGACAGTATTATTGTAACCATATGAACCAGAGGGGACTGGACATGAGTGCCAGAGTAGCCCAAGTAAGGGGAAAGACTCTAATGAGAGAAAACTAACTTGGCAACTTCTTAAACCAAACTTACATAGCTGTGCAATCCCCAGAAAAGATTCAGTTGCTTTAAGAAGTTGCAGAGAGATGTTACTTGAAAGTCCCCATGTCAGCCAGACCACCTTTTTGGCTCCTGATCAGAAGCACTTCACAGCCTGTGTAATTCTACCTGTAGGCAGCATCTCTATCGCTGCTCTAAGAGAGGGTAACTTTACATCTAATCAGTCAGTGTCTGTCTTTAACCAACTGATTCATTCCATCAATTGATAGCTTTAATTTTCAACTGTCATTTGATGGTGGAACAGAATGGTGTGGATCTGTGTCTTTGCCATCTCAGTACAGAGTTGGTCGTTTCCTTTAACTGTATTTTAAATATACTCCTTTTTCTGCTTAGCATCCTGAAACCACATTTCACTTTCTACAAGGCTTTTTTCAAAAAAAAAAAAAAAAAAGTTTATTCCAATGGTGTCTCTCCTAAGAATTTGCTTTTCAACTTGCAAAGATGTTCAGGGTAAATCGTTCTGAAAGATTAGAAGGAAAGGGACTATATATACGGTATATATCGCAGCATTCTTTTTGTTCATAAGCCACTTAGAATTGGAATTATTCTAAAAAAGCTTTCTTAGATCATATGGAAATAGAGAGTAATTCTTTGGTGTAAAAGTGGAATGCTGCTATGAAAAAAGAACTTGGATTCATACAGCATGCTAAGCCTTGCGGTTTGTTGAATTTTGGCTTAGCACACTGTGTAAACCTAGCCTCACAGTTTGCAGACAAGGTTAATAGCTTAGTATTATATGTCTTATTCCAAAAACATATCGTGGTTAAAATAAGCCACGACACAGCATTGTAGGAGCCCAGCCAATAAATTAAACTTGATTGATGGTGGGCTTGAAGTCATTAGTTGCAGTGTTAAGCACCAACCCTATGTAAAGGTTTCAGAACTTTCATTATCTATATTAATAGCCTATCCAAGGATCCCAGAAAGCTGACGCGAGGCTAAGTTTGGTATCTTTAGTAAGATCCTCGGATGATAAAGTATGTCTCGTTGAAACTCACCTGCCAAATGTCATATGGCTGGACTTGGAATTGCAACCCAAATTTTCAAGGCTTATGTTTTTCTCCACTACATCTCTTAAGATGGTTTGGAGGTTAGAGTTCTTAATACAACATGCCAGCCTTGGTCTGGAAAAGTGGTGCTCCTTTGCTTTGGGAGAAGGTATGCAAGACACACATTTTGTGCTCTAATGGAAGACTTACCTATATGGCCCTCTGGAGCCAGAGAGAGGATAAATGCAATCAAAAGGCTTTCATTAAATGAGCTGTGAGCTGACACTTCCTTTGCTTAACTACAGATATGGATCCCACGTTATGGAAAAAGTCCTCCAGATGGCAGAAGGGATTGATGTTGGTGAGATGCCATCCTTCGAGTTGGTGCCGGGCACTAAGGCAGCCAAAAGACCGCGATCCCCACTCGATGACTCTCCCCATAGTGAGTATCTTCCTTTCCCTTTTAACGTAGCTACCTCCAGCCTGCCTCCCTCCCAGATTTCTTGGAAGCAACTTAGGGGTCATGGTGGCACAGCTGCAAAGGTAATTCAGCTTGTGATGGTTACAGCAGTATGTCCCAGAATCCCCAGTGAGTACTGTGATGGGAATCACCATCCCAGCATCTCTGGAGGGTACCAGGTTAGCCTGGCTTAGCTAGGTGGTTTATTTCTGAGCGACTAAAACTGAATGGAGGCCACAGTAGAAAACAAAACTTCACTCTTAATTACTTCAAGCTTGGAATCAGAAATCCATGGCGTTTATTGCAAATGAGCATAGGTATATACAGATCTATTCTTGGCCCAACCTGTAGCCTACTGATGAGACACATCCAGAAAGGAGCGAGAAGAAACAGTGCAATAGAAGTTGAGGGGAGAGCAAGAGATTTATTTAATAAAAGTATAGAAACTAAAGGAAACTCCTACGTAAAAGCAGGCATCATGAAAGATGAAGAAGCCAAAGATCTACTGTAGAAAAAAGATATAAAGAGTTGATGTGACTGTAAGAAAGAACTGTAAAAAAAAAGTCCCCAAATCAGTAATACTTACAGAATAAAAGCCAACTTATATTCCAGTACCGAAAAAGGATAGTGCTAAAGAATGCTCAGACTACTGAACAGAATAGGGAGCAACTAAATAGTTTTGATATTGAGAAAGGAAGGTCCCCAGTTTATTTAATTTATGTGCAGAATTTATCATGAGAAGAAATAGAATTTGGAATTAACTGGTCTGAGAAACATCAGATATGCTAAGATATCATTTTGATGGCTGGTAGCAAGAATGATATAAGGAATCCCTTGACGAAGGTGAAATGGTGATCTGCTTCTCAGTATTTGAAATCTGAGTTTATATCAGCAACCAGCGCCAGTCCAGTGGAAATAGGTGGAGAAATTGAAGTAGAAGTGGACTATCTTCCAAGGCTTAAACATTTACTATGGGGGGTGAATTTTATACCACACCCATGATATAGAGAGACCTCTACTACTTGAGAGAAAGGCAGACAGATTGAGACAGTGTTAAAGTTCAGAAACATCGCAATGAGATCAAAGGTATGTACTGACAGCAACAGAAAAGGGAGCTGGCCAAAGACAAGGGTGCTAGATACCATCGTGGTTAACACAAACAGAAAGTTACAAGAATTCCAAGAGTTACTTACAGACAGTCCTGGTGAAATGGTGTCCATCAGGTCATGAAGAGTCAGAAGCCACTGAGCAACAAAGCCTACCACAGCCATTGTGAAAGCAATGGAGGGAACCTTGCTTCCATCTGCAGGCCAACTCTCTGAAACATTCTTAGAACATAGAAAGCATTTGCTGTCCCCTGAAATGCCTCCTTTTCTCCCACCTTCTTATCCATAAACATTGCAGCTGCTTCTTAAAACAGCCTTTTAAACATTGCAGGTGCTTATACTAGCCAAGGGTGGTTGTGTACACCAATGGCGTGGGCAAGCACTTGGGCAAATGCAACAGACAACACCATATTTAAGTAGAATGCGTCATTTAGCACAACCTCCAACAACCTGGTTGCCCTCCAGCCATATGGACTTTAATTCCCAGAATTCTTAGCAGTGGCCACGGTGGCTGGGACGAATCCTGGGAACTGAAGCCACTGCATCTCCATCAAATTGCATCACGTTGCTTGCTCTCACCAAATTGAATGGTATTGTTTTTGAGAATGCTAGCATTAAAAAAAAATAATTCTACCCAATTGCAGTCGCTTGTTACCGTCAGGTTTCTGAGCAAGATATTAATCCAATCTGCATTTTGAGCAAGGAATTGGCATTGAGAGGTTGGTCAAACTTTGCAGTTTCTCAAAAAGCAAGGCTTCCTCTTCCAGATGGCTATTTCATCGTGGGGAGAGGCATTTGATATGAATTGTAGCATAAAGAGAATGGAGACACAAATGGAGAAATTTAAGGTCAGAACTGTAACAAGCATAATTAGGTTCCGGATGCTCTCTATATAAGACAGAGTTGGGTATAATTGTAAGTTCACCATAAAAGCATGGAACCTGAAGTCCTGAATATCTCCTTTTCAGTTTGACTCCCCATGTTCTCCCCACAGAACATGGTTCTGAATCTTGAGGTTGAATAGCTAATCAATTTTTCACCCTTGTTGAAAAAACAAACAGCTTTCTCTTTCAACACTGTAAACTTCTCTTCCATAGGCTGCGAAGCTCCAAGGAAGCAAGTTCCCAAATTCCGGGTCAGGCCTCGCTTTGAGCCAATCCACTTTGTCACCAGCAACACCCAACAGCAAAGAAAAGAGCAGTCTTCTGAAAACCAAGTGCAAGATGCCTGTGAGAACATCACCACCCAGCAAATCCAAACCTATGCTGATCGGGTTTTTAGCAGCTTCAGCACCCAAGATGGGGACCCCCAGTTTTCAAGTTCAGTAGGCTTAGGCTATGGAAGTAGCCAGGTCAAACAGCCTGAAGCTAAGGCGGTTCCAAAAAGTAAAGAGACTTCTACCACTGGGGGTACGGTGGCTTCTGCGGGATCTCCTCTCCTCCAAGCCTCTTCCGAAACCTTCCCCAAATCGGTTGTAACAGCCAAGCAGTGTTTCATTAACAAGCTCATGACGGCTGTCCGCAACAATCTTGCTAACCCCGATTGTAGCGGTGGGTCGGACAAAATTAACTACACGTATCTTTTGACGCGGTCTATTCAGGCTTGCAAGACAAACCCCGAGTATATTTATTCTCCCCTGAAGGAAATTTCCCCTGCTGATCTTCCCAAGAAGAAGAAGCTGCTTAAAGAAGGTTTTGCCTGTGAGGTGAGGTGTCAGAATGTGTATCTGACCACGGGCTACGCGGGCAGCAAAAATGGTTCCAGGGACCGAGCGACTGAGCTGGCGGTGATGCTGCTACAAAAGCCCGTTGAAGTCAAAGTAGTTCAGCGAAAGTTCAAGAACACCACGCGGGAGGATTTGGTTTTGTGTGAGAGTGGGGCATCTCCTCCTGAATTCCCACCAGCACTCAAACCACTGGATGACTTGAACCCCCCCGTGAAGGATGGTGTGTCAGGGCAGCCAAGTTCTGATCCGCAACAAGGACCCAGTTCAGCGAAGCACTGGACTAACTTTGTCCTCACTGAAAATGCCAGTGATGCAATTGGCATTTTGAACAATTCTGCCTCTTTTAACAAAATGACTGTTGAATACAAATACCAGCTGATGCCCAACCGTCTGTGGCGTTGCAGTGTCTATTTGCAGGGGCACTTCTTGGCTGAAGGCTACGGCACCAAGAAAACCAGCAAACATGCTGCGGCGGATGAAGCAGTAAAAATCTTGCAGAAGACTCAGTCCAACGTGGGTGCTGCCAAAGCTGTCCAGGTTCAGAAAGTGGGTGGGGCTGCCCGCAACCCTGCTAAGAAGAAGAATCTGAAGGACCTTGTGGTGTATGAAAACTCCATGAATCCTGTCTGTACTCTGAATGACACAGCTCAGTTCAATAAGATGACCGTGGAATATGTCTTTGAAAGGATGACCGGAATGCGATGGAAGTGTAAAGTAATGCTTGAGAATGAATTAATCGCTGAAGCGATCGGCGTTAAGAAAACGGTCAAGCACGTGGCAGCCGAGGAGGCAGTGAAAGTCCTCAAGAAGACCCAGCCAACGGTTGTCAACAATTTGAAAAAGGGCACCATTGAAGACGTTATTTCCAGGAACGAGATTTGCGGGCGCTCGGCTGAAGAAGCATTGAAGCAGCAGATCAAGGAAGACAACATTGGGAATCAGATTTTAAGGAAAATGGGCTGGACAGGTGGTGGCTTGGGCAAAAGTGGGGAAGGGATCCGGGAGCCCATTGCGGTGAAGGAGCAGTTCAAAAGGGAAGGGCTGGGACTTGATGTCGAAAGAGGGTCACAGATCACCAAAAAAGATATTGAGCAGATCATCCAAAATTATGCTTTCTCGGACAGGAAGATTGATCTGACTTTTTCCACAGAACTCACCAATGATGAGCGAAAGCAGATTCATCAAATAGCCCAAAGATACGGGCTTAAAAGCAAATCCCACGGCCAGGGCCGTGATAGGTACCTGGTGGTAAGCCGGAAGAGGCGTAAAGAGGACTTGCTAGACCAGCTGAAGCAAGATGGCCAAGTTGGCCATTACGAACTCATAATGCCACAGGAGAAATAGGGTGAAAACCCTATGTTTCTCCCAAGGAGTCTGGACAGGAACCAGGCTTCCATTAAACAGAACAAAGGCTGTATATTGTTGTGGAAAAATTGATTCAAATATGTTTTCCCTGCTCATTTTAATTTCTTAAACTTTACTAGAAAATGTTGCAGCCATCTCCAGGGTTCTGTCTAAATACATGTCGTGCAATCTGGATAACATTTGTACCGTTACCTGTTTTAGGAGTCTCTCAGAAATGGCTTTTTTCCCTTCACATTTTAAGAGTTTGGTAATAGCAGGAACATCTGCTCAGCAGGAGAGGAGAGGGACCCTCACACCATTTTTAAAAGGATTATCTTTTTATTTTTGCCTTTTTAAAACAAAAGGGAGAAAAAAGGAAGATGGCAGTGTAAAGAAAAGTATATGTAAAGTCGGTCTTAATAATAAATAGATTTTTATTGCTGGGCATGCATGGAAGGGCATGTTTTATATTTAAAATGTTGTGGGCATAGAGGGACAAAACTATTTTCAGCATATTCAAATGTGATATCACTACAGTATTTGACCATTTGGTTTACTTGAACCATGCCAACCATGAAACCAGAGCGGGATGCAGAAATAGCAAATCCTAAAATAGCAAATCCTAAAAATCTTTCTTTTGGACAGTGTGTGCTTTTTTACAATTAAGAGTTTAAAACTAGTCTTGGTTTCATTGATTTCAGAGGGGGAAAAATTGCAACTGGCCAAAATCAAGGGCTGAGCCTCTGTCACAGGATTCTAGCTCTCCCGCTTAAAACTAAACAATGGAAGCTCAGGGGACATAGCTTGTGAATGCCATGTTGTAGGGGTACATGGATAAAGGAGTCTCTCTCCCTCTGTCGCATCAGGATTAACACAAGTTAGCAGAGGCAGCCTTGCCTAATTTGTGCAATTCCCAACAAAGCCGCCATCTGTAATATGAGATGGGGGCTTCTACATTTCAGAATAAGACAATACATTATTGCATTTCCATCAACAGTAAGATTTAACTTTGGAGGAGGAGGAGGGGGGCATTTCTTGTACCCTGTCAAGCTTTTTTTTTTTTTTTTTAATGGGAATGGACAGGATGGAGTTTCATTTATTTCTCCATGAAGCTTCTACGTATTCTTACTGTTTCCTTTGTGTAAATGTGCTTGTATATTTCACAGAGAGATCAGCAAGTAAAAGATTCTCTCGCTGAAGTAACGTTGTGATTTGCGTGCAGTACATATTTCTGATCCTTTCTCTTTATAGGCTTTTTCTTCCAACTACAGGAACCTTTGGAGAACATCGAGACTTGTTTTCCCATTTCACCCCATCCTCTTTCCATTGTTTTACTTTTATCCCATTGTGTATAGCCTTGTTAGCCTGGAAACGATAGGACCAACTGAAGAATTTTTAGTGAATAAATAATTCTGCATTGATCTGTATTCTGAAGGGGAGAAACAGTTTTGAGTTTAAAAAAAAAAACTCTTTTTATCATGAGGGAAAGTGGGAATATATTTTTTTAAAAATGGATTGGGGCTTTGCAGTGCTTTAGGGCACACAGAGACACCCCTGCTTCCCAAGACAAGACAATGCTGCTTTAAAGAGTTGCAAACAGGAGCTACGGCCTGGCTGTCAACTCCAAAGAGCTCCACAGCCCTATTGTGGATTTTTTTTTCATACAAAGACTTGCACTATATTGCTCAATCTCTCTTGGCCTCCAGTTGTAACAGGCTTGCTCTTTAACAGAGCCTCTCACCTTATAGAGAAATTTATGTAGGCCAATCGATAAGCTTGTCACTAACCATGAGAATGTAATATCAGGACTATCTAGGAAAAGGCCCCTCTGCCCCTCCTATAGAGAAACGAAATAGCTACAAGAAGCGCAAAGGGGACACTTCCTTAGGCAAGGCTTGGCTTTCCTTTGATTTAACTATTTCCCTGGAGATAAGATTGGGCAAGATGTAAGTATACCATTTCGTTTTCATAATTAAGCTTCAATTTACATATCACTAGTTATTTTTCTGGCACAGCATACCTGGTGCTCCGTGCCCAAGAGGTCTTCAAACAATGTGACCACCCCCATACGAGTTGGTCGTGGCCTCCTGAGCCCTGATATGGGAAATCTTGAGTTGGATGATGACACAAGGAGACACCATGACACAAGGAGACAAAAATCTGTACAGGTTGCTTTGGCATTGTTAGCCTTCCCAGATCTGGGCATATGCCAGACCTGTAGACTTGCTGTTCCAGTCTACAAAAATCAAAATTCAACCAGAACTTCCAGGGCTGTTGTTCAAACTTCTAGGAGTCCATCCAGTTGCAGCAAACGTTGGGTTAAACTAATTCGTCTTACCTATATATTATTTCACCTGCCCAAACTCTTGCACTTGCCACTGACGTGCATGTCCGTCCATTCCTTTGTAACTATAAGCCTCTGCAATGTTTAGACCGGTAGCTGGAAAATACAAGGCATTGTGGAGGTAGTAAAGTCTCTCAATCTCCCTAAAAAAACCCAAGAAACAAAACAGGCTTTTAAGGCAGGTTCCAACTCGCTATGAAAGGCAGAGATACAACTAGTCTTTTTATCTGGGGCAGAAACGGGCAAAGAACCGTAGAAAAGAAACATTTCCCAAGTGCTTAAGAGAGACCCTTTAACTCAGTGTTTCTCAACCTTGGCGACTTTTAAGATGTGTGGACTTCAACTCCCAGAATTCCCCAGCCAGCCAAGGTTGAGAAATTCCCCAAAAGTCGCCAAGGTTGAGAAACACTGCTTTAACTATTTCTCCTGCTTTACTTCGGCCAATAGCTTGTGTTACACTCCAGAGATTAAGTAAGGCACTCCTGTTTTATGTAATTCGCAGTAAGCATTCCTGGAAGTGTATAGTACGTCCACCTACAACCAAAGATGCAGAGAAAAGGTAATTCCTTGTCTAATAAGATATCCGCATTAAACGGTCCCTCGATTTACAAGATCAACTTTCGGCCACTCATTTCTAGTCGATGTGTAGCTATGCACATTGTCTTCTTTCAACAATCAGCATTTAGGTTACACGTTTATTTACAAGTCACTGAAAAATGTACAGGTTCTTACATGGGTTACTTGTGCAAAGCTGCACTCAAGAGTTCAGTGTATACACAGAGGACGCTGGTAGAGCAGACAAACACACCGACTGGTCCCCTCCCACACTGCTGCTTAAAGTACAAACTGAGCTTCACAAAAAATGCTTTTGCAAGTGTGAAACAATTCTGTAAATCGGGCAGGAGGAGGGAAGAGAGAATAGAGACATGCTGCAGTAGCATTTGCAAACTTCCTATTTTTTTCCTCCCGGACAGAAAGCAAAGCCATAATAATCTCATTTCCTTCCCCAGTAAGAGGTAGAGATTAAAATCATAGAAGGAAAAAAAATGTTCTTGAAGCGTTTTAGTTTTTCCTTACACACTGTTTAGCCATTAATTGCCAACTCCTGTTCTGTACCCACTGCAGCCATACCTAAGCTGTTCCAATACCCTCGAAAGTGCTACGGAAAGCACGTATTGTGTTTGTGTCCACTCACAACACCAATCAATCACCTTGCACCTGACCTGTGAAAGCAGAGATCAACCCTCTTCCCCCCACCTCACCCCACCCCACCCCAAGCTTGACATGGGACCAGTATTGCAAAACCCACATGGCTGGAAAAAAAGGCCTGGGGGAAAGGGAAAAACAGCATGGGGAAGTAGGTTCTTCCATATAGTACTCACAGATGCAGTGAAGTTGATACCAGCAGTTAAATGACCAGCCTTGGACAGATCAGCATTCAAGTCATAGTTAAAAATGTATATTGTATATAAACATCTTTTTTTTTTTTGAATCAAGCTACACGTAAGCATCACTGTGTATAACACAATTACAATTAAAAGCTTAAGTGTACACTACAGAAATGCACAATACTGCCCCTAAGACTGGCGATGGTAGACCCACAGGAAGTGGAATTCAGCCTCAGTAATTCTTTTACAAGTAACCCAAGTACAGTACATTTGACCTCAAGGGGGAATGGCAAAGGGTGGCTTTTCTGATGTCCAAAGAGAAAGAGCTCCAGCGAGGGTGGGTGGCAACAGCACGACAGCTAGTTTTGCTTTCCAAGTAAATGCAGTGATGCAAGGAGGAGGAGGAGGAGGACTCAGACACTTCATACATATATTTTCCTCATCAGAGTGTTCATTTGCATCATCCAAGGTCAACAGTCACGCCAGCTCTGTTCTACTATTGCAGAAACCCGTTTTTCGTATTCCCGCTTATTCTCTTGGTATAGCTGAGCTGCCTGGCTGTTTGCTGGGCTGTTTGGGTTAGGCTCATCCAGTAAAGACTGTTTTAGAAGGAAAAGAAAAAAAAAGATGGTGAGGCCTCACTGTTTCACGCAATACTGTGCACGGCCATTGGCAAATTCAAAATAGCAGATTTGGAAGTCCATTAAGAGTATCCCTGAGATGTTTTGGCACCCTTTTTTATCTTGCACCTATGCCGTCGCTTTAACATAACTGAGTTTTGATAGCACAAACGTAGGACCAAGCTCTCTGGGTACCAAAAGATTTGCTACTGTAGCCAAGCATTCCTTTATGTTCACAAGAGGAATATGGAAGAAACAACCAAACATAGGCTAAAGAATTTGTAATCTATTCAAAGCTATCCTTTACCGGCTCATCCACTGATTTCAAACAAGATTTGGTTCGACAGCTTCTTTTTAGAGGACCAAAACAATGCACTATGCTTCCTGAACCCTGTAGCAGATCTGTATTCATATGCCCATGGGCCTATTGATTCAAAAACTACCAAACTTTAGCTTCTTTTGAACAAGAGTTTTGACTATCATTTTTCATTATATCAGCTTAGAAACTGGCACAACAGGAGCTACATGATCTTATCTTTTATCTCAGTTAACTACTTTGAATTCCAAGTGAGGCTGGTAGATGCAACCATTAATCGGACCACAGAGTTCCTAAAATCATGGTGAGCCTACCGAGTTTCAAAGGGTACCAGCAAAGAACTAACATTACCTGTATGGATGTTAAGATGGATGATACATCGTAGGTAGGGCTCCAACGATTCTGAAGAATATCCAGACATATACTACCATCTGCATAGACTATAAAAGGAAAATTTGTGGGTTTTTATAATTCGAAGTGCAGTTGTATACTATCAGGTGATCACGCCTGGCTCAACAAACACCTGCATATCCATCTAAAGTTACCCTACAAGAAATACCTGGGAGTCTATGACTCTGACAACAGGCTCCTAGTTGAGCCATTACTTTCAGTCACTCTCCCACTTTATGACCTCACAACTATTTGTGGTGAACTTATTCATAGCAATGACATGTCAACCAAATATTAAGGAATGCATATCCTTTATGGAAGGATCTATGTGCAAGATCTATGGAAACCTAATAACACATAAATATAGCTATCAAGCTACCCTTTGTAAATAATCACATATTTCTTTATTGTAGGGTTCTACTGGTTCTTTTAATTTTTCAGTGGTATACCGAACATTTAGAAACCCACAGCTAAGCTAATACAATTAAGAGGAGCTGATTTTATTCAAAGATTCAAAAACTGGAAGGGAGTTTAGAAATCACCTCGCCAATCCTTTTATTAAAAGCAGAGTTCCTGTAGCTTCATTTACAAGTAATCCCCACTTAAATAAATGTTCTCTTTGCCCTGAGAAAATTCTAAAATTCAAGACCAGGGCAGCTAATACAGCATACTGATTATTTCTGCTGGGAGCCTGACATCCAAACAGAGTAAGATTCATATAAAACAGTGAGTGAAGATCTGTGAATTCTGTAAAGCTATTTATAATCTTACAGTACTATAATGTATAACTCCAGTACTCATAATGTGATCCAAACTTCATCTAAGTCCTACTGAAACAACACAGAAAACAGCATATTCCATCATGCCTTTCAGTCTGCTAGAAAAAGTATGCAAAACTTTAAATTTGGCAACTGATATTAGCTCCTTTAGCAGCAGTTACTTCAAACAAACATTTCCTCTACCTCCCTGTTGATTAACCCAGCACACTGGCCTTGAAATATTTTGGCCCACACCTCTTTCTATAACTGCTTCAACTCATTGTTATTTTCAGGTCCTGCAAGAACTGCTTATTTCAGGTTGTGCCACAACATTTTAAGGGAGTTAAGGTCAGGGTTTCAACTTGACTTTCCCCAAATGCAAAACTCTCTCTGCTTCAGTCACTCTGCTGTAGATGGATCTATAGGTTTAGGATCACTGCTGGGCCGCATTCATTAAGGCTTCAGTTGATGAACATTCTCTGTGGAACTGGCTGGTACAATCTAGAATCCATGGTTCCCCACTGATTATGAGCCATCTGAGTCCTGGCCCAAATCATGATACTCCAAAAGCCAAGCTTCTTGTGTTACAATGTGCTGTTTTGTGTTCTCCAAACATACTGTTGTTGTTGTTTTTTGGTTACTTATTAGATTTATATCCCACCTTCTGTGCATTGTCTTGTTCAGTGCTTTCCTTCTGGTGAACTGATGAACGCTGACATCAGAAGACGCAAAGAATGACCTGCAGATGCTTTGCTGTTATATTGGGCTTCTTTGTGACCTTCCAGAATGTGGGTATCTCTGAATGACTTTGGTTGGGCAGAGTAACAATGCTGTTGCATTTTGTATACTATCTGCCTGACCATAAACCAATAGAGGCCAAAATCTGGGGCAATGATTTCATAGCCCTTACCAGCCCTACTGACCATTGAGGTCCACAGAGTTCTTTTGATCTTCGTAGATTCACCTCCACAAACCTGTTTTGTGAAGAGGTCAGGCTCCAACGAGGGCAATAAATGTGTATGTGTTTCTAATATGGGAGGAGCCCTCAAACTCACACCTGATTGTTATCTCACTGATAAGAACATGATTCAACTTACCCCTTACAAAAGCTGACTATCTTAGGGCCTCACCAACATTTTCCAACAAATCAGTGAATGCTGACTCAATGTGCTCAATAAAGAAATAATACACTATACTGAATTACGTGCTCCTTGTTTAACCAGAATCTCTATTTATTAATATGACTTAGATAAAACTGATACCATTGCATGTCACCATACTGCAGGATTACAGATATTTCTAAAGGATTCACAGACTTTCCTTCACTGCAGAAATGCTAGTTTTTATAAGCTAGCTTCTCTCAAGCTGTAAACATCGGGTCTATTTCTTCCACAGCTACTACTCCTGCATTTTCATGCAAACTGCTACCTTTTAAAGAAAGGTACATACCATTCGGATGAAACATTTTAGACACAAATCTAACAGTAGGTGGCTTGTTTGGATATTCTTCCGTGAATTCTATGGTAAGCTTGAAAGTTCCTATAATTGAGAAAGGCAGGTTCTAATTACCTTATTCACAGATGGGTTTAAATTTTCCCTGCCTCCTTTCTTCCCCAACATTGGTCCACAAATCAAAAAACCCAAACGATTCCCCATATTCCCTTGTAAGAAGAGAATCAAAGAACGATCTGAGAGAGACCGATCAGATAGAAAGACAGGTTGTAAAACTTGCAGGCATTGTATAATTGTGGAGCAACATTTTTATGGAACAGAAGAGAACAAGCAACCGTCTTTATCATTCAACTCAGGGACCAACAGAAGGCAGCAAAGAAAGCAGGTACAGGGCAAACAAGCATGCTTTTTAAAATATGTATATGGGCCTAAGTACAGCAAGACAGGATTGGGTTAAAGGTTGTGCAGTAAAGGTGGTTTTCAAGGGATCTGAGAAAAAGGTATAAAGAGTGGTGTAAAATTAAATTAATAACCCATTAATATTTCCATGTAAGCTCTAAGATGCCATTGTAAGTGTAAGCAGCAACAATAGCAGAATCAACAAAGGATGCAGGCGGCTTTTGGACGTTCCCCTGATAGGGAGGGATCTAAAGGAACCTCAGCAGCAATATCTTGGGAAGGGACAGAAGGCAAGGCCAAGGAAATTAAGGACCTTAAGTTCAACTCAGAGGGACAATGGAAACTTATCAGAGATTTCAATGGAGAATAATCTTAGAAGCTCAGCATCAAAGAGAAGAGCAAGGAGAAAGTTCACCACCCATTGGGATAAATCAGACAGATTGAGAGTAGCAGCGTCACCCATGGCAGTGCCTCCGAGAGAGAGCTCTATTTCAGGTATCTCAATATCTAGCAATCACAGGCACATTTTTATGCTCCTGATTCTGAGAATTCTGATGTGGAATTCTAGGACTGATTAACCTGGGTGATATCACATTAATGGTCTATTATAGATTGCTTTAATAAAGACTTACCATCCTCAAATGGGGTTCCCTCTGGCCTGAAAAAGAAAAGCATGTCAACATCTCACACGTAAGATACTACAGTTACATGAGTCAGCTTTTAAAAAAATGACACGTGGTTATTTCCTCCATCCCTAAAAACAGGATTCAGACTGAGCTAGATTCAAAGGCTTCAGGAGAAGAGTCAAACCTAAGCCACTTCATCATTTATACGTGCACAACCAGTATGGGGCCAGCACTCATCTTCAGACTGCTACTATCTCTCACCCCACTCAAAGTCTATCTTGATGCTGGAGATGAAGCCTCAGGCACGAGGCCTCCATGGCATTACCTCTTAGAAGTTCAGAGCTGAGTGGCAGCAATCAGCTTACCTATCTTCCCTTCTACATGCCAGCACGCTGCTACTAGTAATGAAAAGTGACAGAGAGTGGACGGTTATCACCTGGCTGGAGCAATCGCCAACCACCAATGGGATTGGGAGACCTGAACACCCTCCTCTGAATAAGCCCACATAATGCTTGTGAGAATCCTGAGTGTTTGCAAGATTGGAGCCAACTTGTACAAATACTGAGAGTACGGTATGTCATAGCTATGGTGCAGTGACCCAGGCCCTGAGAAGCCTTGCCTTAATGCTGGTAGAAGAGAAGGCAGGCACAAAGATAACAAGGGAAGAACATACACAAATACAGTTTGCTACATCATCAGGTCCCTCAGAAAAGCACAAACTGCACTGACCATTCTAAAATAGCATTTCCCTATTCAACAGCTAGGACTCTCTGGACATATTGCAATAATCAGTCTGAGAAATCTTCGACTGCAATGGACAAAGACTTGGAATCCCAACATATCTAGAGGTCAAACAGGAAAAAAGAAGAAAGAATAGAATTTGAAAAAGGAATGTCAGCTACGCTATAATTTATGCTATCAAAACAGGTCACACCTGCCAGAGTAACAATTATTGCAAAATGATGAACTAAAACCATTTATTGATTAAGATTTCAATTTGAAATTTCAGTAAGGGTAAGGGTCACAATCATGAAGCTTGATGAACAGCAGAGCTTGACAAGTTCCACCAACCAAGTTGGCTTGGTTCCTTGTGATCACTTGCGTTGTTTCAGGAGGTGGGGATATACTAAGCAACACCTCCTTGGAAAATTTTAGAGCAGGTATATATACCCACCATGAAAATAAGCAAAGAAGCTCCTGGGACCAGGGAGAAAAGGAATACATGCTGAAAATTTGAGATAGGAATCATTCTTCCCTGCCTACCATCCTGGCTTAAATAAGCAATCAAATGGGAGAATTTGGAGGAACTCCCATCAGAGTTCCAAAGCCACTCAAAGAGAACATGCTATAGCTATCAGCTTGCTTTTTCAACCTATTTTACAAAGCATCTACTAATGTAGGAAAACTTCCAAGCCAGTCTTTATTCCAATAGCCTGACTTTCTTTCAAGTCACTAAGGAACTGGTTGTCAGAATAATACCAATAACAATTATTACTTTTAATTAAAACAACTCCAGCCATCACTAATGACAGTTTTGAACACACCCTGCTATTCTATCTTACTAGCATATGCTATTATTTATACAGACAAAACCAGGGCAACTGCCAGTCCTACATGGATGTGTCCTATTATGTTATCATCAACTACAATTATTCCTGCCCTTGCAACTCTCTCTCCTGTAGGTGAGCAATACATTATGGACCTGAAGTTGATGTCTATCAACCAAGCTGATTCTGGATGAAGGAAATTATAATTCAATGCATCAGGAAAGCACCAGCCAGTGGAATGACTAGACTATTATCACAGAGAAGCAAATCTGGGCCATGAGAATGATATTTCCACTGACGAAAGCACAGAATTCAAAAGCTTGATAATCAATAAGGAAAATAAAATTAGCATGATTTATTATCTGAAAACAGGGATAGGCAACTGGGTTCCTCTTAATGTCCTAGATTTCCATGTCTATCAGCTCTGGCCAACAATAATTAATGGCAAGAGGCTACAAAAGAGCACTGGGTTGCTTATCCATGCTTTAGCAGATCATAATCACTTTATATTCTTAGCCTTCCCCAAGATGGTACTGAACTGAAGCACTGGACTCCAATTCCCTTCATTCTAGACAGAATAGCCAATGGCACACTGACTAGGATAGCAATATGGGATAGCCCACCGTGAAGGGGATCAACCGAAGAATACAGAACTGGGAAAAGGAATCTAGTATCTTCCAAACGTTTTTAACCCCCACCAACCCCAGGCCTGTTGAACAACAGACTAAGACCACTTAATTTCTCCTGCTGTTACAGGGGAATCGAAGAGACAGTTGGTTATAGAGTCCTGCAGCAACCCTCCCAGGTGGCTGTCTGGCTTCTCTCTGAAAGGGGAACCCATCCCTTTCTTAGGAAACTAGTTTCTGCAGATCAGTTGCACTTATTCTTAGGCAGGTGGGGTCTTTTAGGTTTAAAAAAAAAATAAATTCAAACCCGCCTTCCTGAAAATTAAAACTAGGGCTGCTTGTCCTGTCCCCTGGGATAAGAGAGAACAGGGCTCAGCCTTCTTCAGCCTATTATCCTCTGGGGAAGTTGGAGGGCTGCCTTTCTGCAAGGCTAAACCTGCCCCTTCGAACTGCAGAACTTGGCTCCGCGACCTGGTTTGAACCGGGGCCAGCCGGACCCAGCCCTCCAAGTGGGGTCTGAGCAAAGGTGGGGAAGGGATCTGGAAACTCTTCTTCGTCCAAGAGCTTATTTACCCTTCTGGAAATCAGACTAAAGGTGGGGGTGGGCGGGGGCTTCCAGGGAATGCCCGCTGCTCCTTGCTCCTGGAGCACCAGGATGGGGAGGATCGGGGCGTAGAAAATGGGGGGGCCTTCCAGCCCTCCTGGCAGGCGGGGGGCAGCCTGTGCCGACTCACCCAAAGATGACCGCATTCCACACCATGATGTTGTTTTCCGAGGGGGCTCCGCTGACTCCGGCCGGGGGATCCTCCTGCAGCCTGTTTGGGGAAGGCGGGCAGGAAGGGGTTAAAAGGGGCGCCCGCTGGAAGGCGGGCGGGGAGAAAGACGGGATTTCGCCCCGCCTGCGCCAACGGCGTAACTCGCCCCTATCTTTCCGAGGCCGCTGCGCCAGTAGCGTAGCGCTCCCACCAGCGGCGCCGCCATGTTGGATCGCCTCACCTCTTCCTCCGGCTCGCCGGCGGCCGACCGCCCGCCCCGCGCGGGCCACGCGCCCG